CTCATGTCATGGACAGAAACAAATGTATATGTTAGGTGCCTGCAGCTACAATGATGTATTAACTAGACATTTCAGGTTAATATAAAGTATAATAAACATATTCATATTTGACAATCGTATAAATGCATATATGTGCATATTATTGTATAGCGCTTAAATATGTGAGTGTATGTAGCTGTGTAAATGCATGCAGTGTTTAAGATAACTTTAGAAGTGGCTAGGAAAAAGAGGTTACCCCCATACTAAAGTAAAATAAGTTATAACTTGACTGCTGACCCGTATAACCCCTACCACCCGTTGCCCAATAAAGACACAACAACACTTGATATGGGTAAGGGCAACGGCCACAGCTTTATTGATAATTGATGGGGGTTTACAAACAGACAGCTCTACCCAAATAAACCACGCGTCTGGAGCAGCCTGCCCCCGCCATCAGCTCTCAGCAGGCTGCGACTCCCCAAGCCGTTTCTTCTAATTTCCCTGCTGGCCAGGACTACCGCGAACTGTGACAAAACAAAAAAAGACAGCACCCAACCAAACAAAACGACCTCCACATGGAATTACTAGGGCAGGCAGGCAGGCGGGAAGCTAGCACCACTACGCCTCTGACAGGGAACTGGTGAGTACCCTCCCCATTTACCCCATTTCATGATGTGCCTAGGATGCCATTTTGTATGCCCCTTGGGACCATCCCCTTATCCCTGTCATCAGCCATGTCCTCCCTTCCTTATCTTTCCAGGTAGGTACTTGACTGCTGACCCGCATAACCCCTACCACCCATTTCCCAATAAAGACACAACAACACTTGATATGGGTAAGGGCAACGGCCACAGCTTTATTGATAATTATTGCCAGCGTCCCCACTCTGTCAGCTGTTGGGGGTTTACCAACAGACAGCTCTATCCAAATAAACCACGAGTCCGTAGCAGCTAGCCCCCGCCATCAGCTCTCAGCAGGCTTTCTTCCAATTTCCTTCGCTAGTCAGAACTACCGTCACCGCGGTGACTCCCTAACTGCTCCCCTGGGAGGCACTGCGCTCCCCCCGCCGCCAGCACCTCCTCGATATCAGCCTGAAGACCGGCAATAAGGATATCCAGACCTATCAGCGAGAGGTGGACCCCGTCCCCGCACATGAAGTTGGAGTTGTCCCCTTCCAACTCCATGTGCCTGACTACAAAGCCCCCAAGGTGCCGAACAAATTTACCTATAGACACATTGAGCTTGTGCCTACTATGCTCAACACCCCTAGCATGAGGCAGCGCATGCCAACAAGGCCTGGACACTATGTCCGACCAAATTAAAGTCAGATTGTAAAAGTGCCACACAGCGAGCCAGGTCATGTCTGATCGCGTGTTACATACCTGTGGAGCGACACACACTCCGCATACACTTGCTGCCACAGCAGACCCCTGATACCCTTCCACCTTACGCTGGCTTTCTCATAGGGGAACCCCAAATTCCTTCCGTAAGTATGCTCCTCGCCACGCCGCTCAATAAACGATGGAATGCCCCAATATCCAAATACAGTGTGGCCGAGGATCTACGGAGAAACACACGTTACAACAAGTGAGGCCTGACATAGGACTTGTAGCGATTCGAGCCCCACCTACCCAAACGTTTAATCGCTGCGGCAGAAAATCCCCACAAACTAGCCTGGGTGGCCGCCCTGTTGCGAAATAAATGAACCGAGTACTCTCGAGCATCCATCCCACACTCCACCAGCGCAGCGCGAAACATAGCCACGAAATGGTAGCGCGTATGAGGCGACCCATCACTATGAACAAACAGGGATAGATACCCCCCAGGCCAGAGCCGCAAATATGCAGGGCATAAATGGACCGGGCAAAACACCACCCATCGAACCGATGCGCGCCCAAGAACCTACCTGGTCCATCTTGGAACGCCGGATGAAGCCGTCAACGGAGTCCTCAGATCATCGTATGTCCGCCATCAAGAGCGGCCCTGCCAATTCACCCACCCGAAACGCACCAAAAAAACTAAAGGAAAATGCAACCTGAAATAACAATGTCTCGTACCCAGAGTAACAAACCACCCCAGGGCTGACAGAATCCACCACAACAACTCCGCCGATCTGGGCCCCTTCTAAGTCTCCAACCCCGGATGACTCGCTGAATACCGAACTCCCGTGATACGTCTCGCCAGCCCATAAACCTGTACAAAAAAGGACAATGTGGACAAGGACTTTTCGGCCGCTGAACATGACTTACCCTGCTCAAGCATCTCCTCTAGCATTGTCAATGTCGCCTCCAAACATCCGGACTCGGACCCCACCACCCGAATATGCGAGAATATGGACAGCCAGTGGCGCCAGACGGCTTGATACGACTTCCATGAAGCGTCCGACAAGGAGTCTGCCACCAAGTCTCTCAATCCTCCAAATCGATCTACCATAAGGAGTCCGGACATCTGAGACCAACTGCCTCCGCTGCTGGGGTCACCTCCCGAAAACGGTCCCAATGAAACCGAGAATCAGCTACCACGTTTAACACATCTGGCACATGACATGCTTTGATCCAGATGTTAAACTTCAAACAAAGCAAAACCAACCGGCGAAGCAGAGCTAGAACAGGAGGGGAACTGGAGAAGGAACAATTTATCACATGGACAACACTCATGTTGTCTATGTGAAAAACCACTGTTTTGTTTTGAAGAGCCTCGCCCCAGAGCTCCAAGGAAACCACAATGGGAAACATCTCTAAAAACGTTAAATTCCGTATCACGTTCAAGCCCAGCCATTTAGCCGGCCATGCTTCCGCGCACCTTTGACCTTGGAAGTAAGCTCTAAACCCCACTGCCCTGGAAGCGTCCGTGAATAGGTCCAACGCAGAATTTTACGTAGCCTCCTGCAGCCAGCAGGAGCGCCCATTGTAGCGCTCCAACTAGGGACTCCACACCTGCAGGTCCGCGCGCAACAGACGTGTGACCCGAATAAAATGAAAGGGTTCCCGAATACCTACCATCGAGAGGGACAGCTGCCTGCGAAAGGCCCAGCCCATGGGAAGGACTCGGCACGTAAGGGCCAGCACCTGCATTTGCTGCAACAGTACAATCCTGACCCCGCGAATCAGGTCAACCATGCGCAAGAGGACCGACAATTTGGCAAACGGAAAACCATTTCCCCGGAGTCGATTTCTATCCATAGAAATTATACCTGAACCAGACCCACTGTTTTAGACTCTGCAACGGGAACTCCGAAAAACTCCATGACCGACCGAAACCATTCTAACAACCGCTAACACTCTCCGGAACTCGACGGATTTACGAATAAAAAATCATCCAGGTAATGGGTAACCGCCGACAAACCCGACGACTGTACCGTAACCCATTCTAAAAAACACAAAAAACATTTCGAAATAGTAACAAGAAATAGAACAGCCCATGGGAAAACACATATCGTAGTAATAAACCCCATGAAAAGAACAGCCTAGCAAGTGAAAACAAGAGGGGTGAACTGGCAACAGACGGAAAGCAGAGGCAATGTCAGATTTTGCCAACAACACGCTGGCCCCGGGATTTTGAACCAACTCCAAAGCCCTGTCAAACGATGCATAGCGCACCCGACAAAACTCCTTATCGATAGTGTCGTTAACTGAACCTCCCGACGGGTAGGACAGGTGTTGGATCAAACGAAAGGAACCCGGCTCTTTCTTCCAGGCCCAGAGGCGAAGTGCGCAAAATGGGAAATGGGGAAAAGGGGCCTGCCATGCGACCCTGCCAAACCTCGGCATCCAAATTTTCTTGCAGTATCTCTTCCTTACCCTTAACCGAGCGGAGGTTGATTGCAAACTGCAAGGAAGTGGACAAAAGGAATCCAAAATCCAACCTTAAATCCCTTGAAACAGAACTGAGCGTCGTGATGTCTAGGATACTGGGCGAGCCATGGGCGCATCCTTTGTACGTCCACTGGCGTCCTCTAGTCTAGGAATGTCGTCACGAGATGGCCCTTTCCCGACGAGTAGCTTCCCCTTTCTGAGGCAGCGCATCGCTGGGTGCACTCCTCCACAATGTGCAAATTCATGGCAAAACCTGCTGTACCACTGGCACTAGCTCTCGTTAAAGAGCCAACACACGCCTTTTTTGTGCCCTGCCGAGGAGCCATATACACCTCCAGCCGGTCTGTGACAGGGTGAACGTCTACTGGGGGTAATTAATAATAGCCATAAATTACCATCCTGGATGCCGAAATCCATTCCCGGGCATGCCATCTTTTGGCGGAACTGCTGGTCGTAATAGTACCAGCATTGCCCCCCGTAGATCTTATATGCAACCCAGATTAAGTCTAGGTACCCAAAAAGAGAAGGAGCCTTCTCAGGAAACCAGTGCACCAGGATGCTAGAAAACACATTAAACCCTTGTAACCAGTTGCCAAATGTTCTAGGGATATGCTTACCCATGTCCGTCTCAGGAACCTCTCCACGGCTTGGTCTGTCCACTGAGTTTTTGTCAGGAGAAACCAGGGAAAGAAGATCTTCATACTCACCTCTGCATATTTTTGTCCTGGATATCCTGCGGGATGTGTAGACCGTACAAGGGCGGAAAGACCCTGAATACTGCCCATATCCCTGCCCAGCAGGATCCTGAACCAGGCCTACTGATTGCCTAGCCCGCCCAGTGAGATCCGCGGGAAACCTGTCCACTAGGGCCCTCAGCAAGCGCAACCACTCCTCTGGATGTTCCTTCCCACCAGACCCCTATGAACGCTAGCGCAATATAACATCCTCATCTGCATCCGAACCTGACTCCGACCGTGACCTCCTGGGCTCCTCTGGAAGACCGACAACTGTGCTGACCTCCAGCCTCCCATCTGGCTCCAGGGCTCTGAAACCAGCGGCATCCGGGTGTGGGAGATCCTTCCTGTGCCGTGACAGGGTGTCTCCTCTCCTTCCAGCCGACCGTCCTTTGCGTCCAGCACCCTGAGAAGCCAGTGGCAGACCCAGGGCACCAACGGTGCGCATCACTTACGGTGGCGCTGTCCGATGATGTCCGGCGCCCTGACGTCCAACGTGATCCTGGGCACCAACGCTTACCGTCACTTTCGGTGTCCTCACGCTTCCCTGCAGTTTGGACCGGAAGAGACGCGGGCAGCTCAATCTTCCCACCACGCCGCCATCTTGTCCGCTCACCTCAGCTCCACAATCCGGCCTCCGGCTCCTCACCCCGTCCTGAACAGTCACTGGGGAACCCCTGCTGGTGATAGCCGTCTCTCCTCGCTGCCGACCGCGTCGTCTCGATACCGGACTGGGGGACTAGCGCGTAGGAGGCCTAGAACGCCGGGCCCTCCTACTGCCACCTGGAACATCAGCTGCTCCGTCCGTCCCTGCAGCCGCCTCCGGACGTCCATCCACCCAGGCGAGCACATCCTCCAAGGAACCAGCTCCATGTGAATCTGGATGAAACACAGTCCCTGTGGAAAAGCTAGCACCACTACGCCTCTGACAGAGAACTGGTGAGTACCCTCCCCATTTACCCCTTTTTATGATGTGCCAAGGATGCCACATTGTATCCCCTGAGCCAGCAAGGGAAGGGGGAGAGAGAGTGGGGTCGGATAAAGGGAGAATACTTAAAGGAACACTAGTATCACCAAAACAACTTTAGCTTAATGAAGCTGTTTTGGTGTATAGATAATGTCTCTGAAGTTTCACTCACAAATCATTTTTGTTTCTGTTTATGAAGTCCAAGCCACACCTCCCCAAGCTGTGACTCACACAGACTTCATGAAAACAAAATGGTTTCATTTTCAATCTGATGAAATTTATTTTAATAGTTTTTATCTCCTGCTATGTAAATTAAAAAGGTTAAAAAAAAAACCTTTCTTTCACTTACCTGATTCCAGTGCTTGAAATTCCTCAGCATTGGGTTGTGCTCTTCCTCTGCCAACTTCAGCCTATAGGGGGTACCTAACGCGCATGTGCGCCCATTAGCCCAGGAGCAGTAGCATCTCCAGGATTCATACTTGGGGGGGCACATAAGGGGCCAGGGACAAAAGTGGGGAGGGGTTATACAATGTGTATATATATGTGTGCGTGTGTGTGTGTGTATATATATATATATATATATATATACACACACACACACACGCACACACAGGGCTCGACAAATTCCAGGACAAATTCCACGGCGACTAGACATTTTGCCCTGGCGTCTGGCATTTGTCAGCCCTTTGCTAAGTTGCGCAGGAAACATTAAAGCCGGCCGCCGCGGTGAACATGACGTCACTCCGGCCCCAGCATCACTACAGAGAGTGTGCAGGGGAGCAGACAGAAACTGCAGGAAGATTGAGAAGAGACACACTGGACACCAGGGAAAGATCCACTCAGCTCTCCGAGGGGTAGGGAAGCTGGGTGGATTTAAATAAAAATATCAATTTGTGAGAAAATGTGTGTGTATGTGTCTCAGTGTGTGTGTGTGTCTTAGTCAGTGTGTGTCTAAGTCAGAGAGTGTGTGTCTGTCAGAATGTGTGAATGTTTTACACCCCACCTCCTATAGAATGTAAGCTCGATTGAGCAGGGTCCTCTTCAACCTATTGTTCCTGTAAGTTTATTTGTAATTGTCCTATTTATAGTTAAATCCCCTCTCATAATATTGTAAAGTGCTACGGAATCTGTTGGCGCTATATAAATGGCAATAATAATAATAATGTCTGTCAGTATGTGTATTAGTCAGACACTGGAGGCGGAGCTTGCATACGGGCGATCTTCAATGCAGGGGCAGAGCTTGTGTGGGGCTGAGTAATGGGACAGGGGCTGAGTAAGGGGACAGGGTTGAAGAAGGGGGATATGGGCTGAGGAAGGGGACAGGGGCTATGGAGGAGGATAAAAATTTTTTTAAGTGTATTCCCCCTCCCTGAATCTTACCTTAGGCCAGGGAGGGGTGGGCAGCAGCCAGCAACCAGCAACCAGCATACAGCAGCAGCAGCCAGCATACAGCAGTCAGTGAAGTAGGCCCTCCTGATGATGTCACACAAACAGACTGACCCATACACGCACACACACACTGCCCCCCACACAGACTGACCCATGCACACACATAGACTGCTCCCACACATACAAAGACTGACCCATACATACACAGACTGACCCCCCACAACATACACAGACTGACCCATACACACACAAACACACAGACTGACCCATACACAGACAGACTGACACCCCCTCCCCCCCCCACACACACACAGGATGACCCATATACACACAGACTGACCCCCACACATAGACTGACCTATACACAAAGGAACTGAGCACCCCACTCACACAGACTGACCCACCCCACACAGACTGAACCATACACACAAACTGACCTAAACACACACAGACTGAACTCCCACCTCCACACACAGACTGAACCCCCTCCTCCCCACACCCATACACACACAGAATGGACCCCCCACACACACAGACTGACCCATACACATACACAGATTGAGCCTCCCAAACACAGACCGAGCCCCCCCCCATACACACAGACAGACCCATACATGACACACACACACAGACTGACCCCCTCCTACCCCCTACCCACACAGAGACTGAATCACACACACTGACTCACTTACCAGCAGCTGCCTGGATGCCTCTGTGCAGAGCTGAGCTTCCTCTCCCTGTCTCTCCCCTGCGCTGCTCTCTGTGATCCAGCAGGAAGTCCTCCCAGCACAGTGCCCCTTTTGGCCACACAGGACTACAGTGATAGCACTGCTGCAGCTTTTGAAGGGAGACTCAGTGCTCTCGACTTCAATTTTAATTGGGGGGGTCTTGACAAAAGTCTCTATAGACTGAAACGTCGACCTATTTGATGTGTATTCCGGTTACTGCTTAATAAAGCAACAGTTGCAATTTACTTCAAAGACTCCTGAGTGTTCTCTACTGGGATTGTATATAGATATATATATATATATAAATATATAATTTCGTTCTATGTATTTTGATATCAATATATATATATATATATATATATATATATATATATATTAAGATCAAAATACAGTTAGAACGAAATTACACACACATATTTCTTAATTTTTTGTTATATTTTTTTAACGTATTTACATATTTATTTTATGTTATATATAAATATATAATTATATATATATATATTTAATCAATATCATTCTACGTGTATTTTGATATTAATATATATAATTATATATATATTAAAATACACTTAACAGTATATGTGTATGTATGTGTAAGTGCATATAAATATATATATATATATATATATATATACACACTTAGATCATGTATATACATGATCTAAGTATATATTATTTAATTTTAAACAGAGTTTAACCTTTTTTTTTTACTTTTTAAAGGCAGCAGGGGGACTTCCTGTAATTGCAGGCACTCCCCCTGCTGGCTCTGCTATGGACGGCTATTCCGTCCATGTGCTCGTGAGGTTCTCGCAAGGACCTCGCGATCACATGGCCCAGGAGGGTTGGAACGGCAGCAGGTAGACTCCCTGGGATGCCAGGTAAGTCCGCCCATCACGATCGCTGGCGTGGGCTCGTCGGCGAGCGGTTATGTACATAGCACGGCGGGGATGTGCTAGGCCTCCCGCCGGTGTTTAGAGCGGGGTCCCCACGCACGCAGTCCTAAAGGGGTTAAGGGAAGGGGAGAGGAGCACTAAATATTCTTGAAAACATAAAAAATAATAATAAACATGTTCAGTTAACAGTAGATTTGTGTAGAAATTGTTTCTTTTTTCAAATGGTAAAAATTCACAGATTATCGGTTCTAAAAAAATCAATATCGGTCGATCCCTAGTCTTAATCCAGCAAAGTAAACATTTTAGTTTCTCAAAAGTTTTTACATTGCAGGTTTATGTGCACAAAGGGGACGGAAAACAGAATATTCACCATTGTACAGCGTTGGGTAATTTGTTAGCGCTTTATAAATAATAATAATTCACATTTTTTTCAGTTCAGTAATATTCTTAATTAAAACTGGTTCCCAAAAATTCACAGCATATTCAAGGTGGGGGTCTTACCATTAAAAAACCTATTTTCATACCATTCAAATGGAAAATATATATTTTCATAACTTAAATAAATCCCCCCTTTTTTTTATAAGGTTGGAGTTTCCAGAACTGCAAAGCCATTTGTATGCTTTAAACTGATCTAGGCTCTCCCTACAATGTGACTGGGTTTAGTGCAAAATCTTTTGCAGCTCTAACCAATCCATTTTTGGCTAAATTAATTAATGTCAGAAATTAAATGCAACAAACCATTTCAACCAGTTTTATTTTTCCTGGATAGTTATACCTAAAGGGGCTAAAGGGAGTTTTTAGAAGGAACTATTGAAAGTGTTGTAGCTTTATTTGTAACAATAAGACATTGAACCTTATACAGAAAGGAAAAGAATGTACAATCTTTTCATTAACTACCATTATTGCCATTATTGTGTTTGGAAAGCAAAATCCATAGCAACTGCATATGTGCCCTGGCCAGTTCCATTATAAAGCTCTGTGCGTGTTGGCACAAGGATACTTTTTCTCCTCCTCTCTCTTCCTCATAAGACAGTGTGAACACGCTGAGTCCCTAATGTTCTGACCCAGGAAGCCTCTCCCAGGCCAGATTGGAGAGATTTCCATGGTGACCAAGCCTGAATGGAATGCTGGGAGGGAATGGAATTTCTGACGCTCATGCTTCACTCAACACTCCTCAGGTACCTTACAAATAAGGTGCCAGTTATGTGAGGGGCACAAGAGGTGAAAGACTGTGATCAGGCACATTCCGGGCATATCTGCAAGTTGCACTCCTACATTTCATTACCAAAAGTTCAAGGCAGTGAACTTATAGGGGAAGATCAGGAGCAATAAACAGAACAGGCTGAAAAATTATACATGGTTAAATTAGATGGAGGATTCACAAATGGTTAACGTACACTCAAAAGGAGTCATGATACTGATAGTGTGTTATTTACTAAAGTCATAATTTTTTAAAATCTTTATTGTGATGTGGAATATTACACTTAGGACCATAAGCGCAATATTTTCCACGCATTTTGTTGATGCAAGAAAATATAAATCAGATCACAAAGCATTACGGTGTACTATGGCATAAAACACAAGGCAATTAAGGACTAAAAATAAACACGTACACCCACAGACATACACACATATACACGCACATATATAAAAAAGTATATTTAGGAAAAAAGTATTCTTTTTATTTTTTTTTTATTTTTAATTCTTTATTTTTGGTTTGACAAAGTAGATGGTAATCATGAAAGCAATTACATTTATGTACATGACAGCGCGGTCATACATTAGCATATATAATGCAAGTGACAGTTGTCAGTTTAGGCATATCATATACATCAAGTTTTCTGTGGGTGACTTCGTCTGAATTTTTGGTATAGGTGGCAAGCAGTGTTAACTATGTACAATAGCTTTGCTGTGAAGGGTTAGGCTTATAGAGTGGAGTGTCGGTCTCGCCGCTTCCTGCGGTATGCGACTGCGCCCTCCCCCCCTTCTACGCACCACAAAACGCTGATGTGCTTTTATCTGCCTTTCCCCTTCTGCCTACTTACAGGTCTGGGGTGCCTGCCTACAAGAGAGAGATAGAAAGGAAAGTAAAGAGTTGGAGACAAGTACCTGCGTGGTTAGCTATATCGGTTTGACATGGTTACCGAGTGAGCTACCGACGGGGGTAGTCAGTTCCCTTAAGTTGTGTTTTATGTGCTGGGCCCGGCCCCACCCCCGTCTAGCAGTGGTGCCTCTTCCGCCTGTCCGAGTGTTGATGTGGTGGTTGGCGTTTGGTGGGCCCCCGCCCCGCCAATTGAAAGTTGCGTGGATGCTGCCCCGCGCCCCAAGTTGTTGTGCTAAGTATCGTATTGCTCCCACAGGTCCCAGACTTTTTGGAACTTAGTCATGGTGTTTCGCACCTGAGAGGTCAATTTATCCATTATGTAATTGTCTCGTATTTTTGTCTTAACCAGGGATATATGTGGGAGATCTGGACATGACCACTGTTGTGCTAGGGACCTTCGGGCCGCTAAATAGAGCATGTTAAGAAGTCTTTGCTCGTGTCTGGGGAGATCCTTTGTGGGTCTTGAGAGCAGACATGCCCATGGGTCTAATCCCAGTC